CGTTTAACTATAACATGATACTTTAACTCATTAAGACTACTTCTCAGCAATATATAAAAAACAAATAATATTCTCTGATAGAAAATCCAAAGTTAAGATTCCTATACCAGTAAGAGAGGTTGTGCCATAAGTTAAAAGCATTCTTTTAAAGTATCTAATTTTTTTATTCTCTATTAAATTTTCACACCACTTTAATACACTTATTCCAACGACCTTACGATTTATAATTTATCTCAGGGATCCCATCTTTTTAGTGTCACAAAGTTTTGTAGAGCATTGTGGTTCTGCAGTGGCTCCAACGAATTTTCTTCTTTCAACGATTCAATGATCTTTCGATTTATGGATCATCTTATGGGTCCCATTTCTCTAGTACCACAAAGGTTTGTAGAACTCTGTAGCAATACAACAGCAATTACCATTTTCTCTGATGAAATGAAAAGTAATAAGAATACTTGACATGTTTCAAATAAATATCAGTATATAAGTATAAATATAAATGTAAGTGTCGAAAGAACAGCCCAAAGGCCACATACGATCCTCGGATAATATTTGTACGGATAATACACCGGAATTACGTAAATTTTCTCTCGGTGTACTTTAGTAAAATCACATTATTTTATTTATACGGTATACTAAATAATCGAGTTTAAATTAATAAAACTTAATTTAACATTCTAACCGTTTCTTTCAAAACAATTATGAACGTCTGTATTTATTTTTGTCTAGACAGCCCTGATCTAACCCATAAAGCATTATTGAGTATATTTGAAAAATACCTATCTTTTTTAATGAAGGGTAATGCAGAAATATATCGATTATGATTAAACTTTAAACATTATATTTCTGTAAACTTTTGTTAATATCATATGATGTAAATATTATATGTTAATGTCATAAAAAGAAAAAGTCAAGAATTAGCGGAGAAGGCCTTGTGTTTTATAATATTAGCGTGTAATTGTTCTGTGTGAAATAGCAATAAAATAATTACAGTAATTTATTTTTTCAGTAATAAGTCAGCTTATAAACTAAAAGCACAATTAGCTTAACTGTTAACTTAAATTCCTTTGTTATACACAGCTCATTCGCTTTCTCATATGGAACGAATTCATCTTTTGAACGTAAGGTCCTACGTGATGACACCAATAACAATTTCAAGCCTGACAGCAACTACCTTCCCAACCCCATTCTTTACAAGAAAACCTAAATTACTCTCATCGGCCCACTCCCTACGTTTTCTCCCCCAGCACTATTTTCTCTGACTTCTTGTTAGCTATGCACCACAAGCCACCTCCTCAACATAGCCTCATGAAATGTTTTGATGAGTGGTATTTAAATGTCTCCATCACCACCCTCTATAACCGTTGCTTTTAGAACTATGATCACGAAAACTATAAAAACATACAACTGTATGAGATATTAATGCATTCCTAAACTAATACAGAAATATGCCGGTCTGGTCGCAGCTAATCTTCAGTGCGGTTTGACCATTATTTTTTTTTTTATTTTTGTTCTAATAATGCACCGGTCAGAAAAAAATAACAAATAGATAATTTAATAACTAAGCCTCCTCTGTTGTTAGTGTTGGAGAAAAATAGTATTGGAGTATTGGAGGAAAGCCTAATTTCAAGTGTTAGAAGTGTGTAAGTGATGATATACGATTTAGGAATATAAATTAAATTTGATCAAATATATATTTTTATAATGAACTGACTAAGAACTAAAGTAAAATATAATATATTGCACAAATATACAACTAAAAGCTCGACTTGGGATGGTGCAGGCAGGGGGGTTCAAACTAAGAGGCGAACTTAGGGACAGTGGAAACCTAAAGGTGACAAATATATAAAAAGTGGGTGACTCGCTTGGATAGTGGAGATTACGATCTGCAAAGGAAGTCACGGGGATTTAATAAACATACTTACAATAATCAACAACTTATTACAACACACAAACTCATCTATTGTGGTTATGTTCTTATCTTCTTATATGTAAAAATGAATCGAGAAATGTGTTGGTGAGCGCATAACTCAACAACGCCTGGACCAATTTGTAATTAGCAGTAATTCAATTTTTTTCTCGCCGTAAAAACCATCCTTGGACTTCAACGAACATTTAAAAAAAAGAATTGACCAAATTGGTCCACGCGTTGTTGAGTTCTGCGCTTACCAACACATTTTTCGATTCATTTTTATATATAAGATTATTTTTCGGAATTTAAATTCTTATTTTTTATTATTTGTTTGTGTATATAGTAATATTTCCATAGTATCATTAATTCTCCTAAAATATTTATAGAAAAAATATAAATCTTTATATACTAACATTAAAGCTAAATCTAATGTAAAATATCCTTGAAGTCCTATTTAAATAAATCAGATGATAATATCGTGAAAACTAAAATAAAAACCCAACATTCAAACACGAATTCCATAAACAGTGCTAAGAAAAGCAAATAATGTTACAGAACAAAAGGACATGTGTACCAAATGTCAGCTTATGTCATCATATACACTGTTATGGTATGTATGTATACTCCTTCGAATGTCCTTGTTGTTAGTAAATTCAATCAGTAAAATCCGTACACTTGATTGATCAAAACAAAAGCAACATCTATAGAGTACATGTAGATACATGTAGATATATATATATATGTCTATATGCCATTGTGTATATATAGTATGCAGTATCTATACGTTTTACTTTTTGCAAGTGTCAAAAAGTATTTGAGTCCTCTTGTCGCAATTGACAGCTGATGTCAATTTAAGCTTAAGTGTTTTCATCCTGTGCGTTAAATTACGTGTTGTATTAAGTTACATGAATTTAAAAAAGGCATATATGGGTGTATGTGTGCGTGTATGTGTGAATATCCTTGCTACATTCAGCACTGCTTCAATTGAATAAATTTATATGCTAATAAGCCACTTTCCGAACCCGTAATGCTAATGAACTGCATTATTGAAAGTGAATGTGTGAAAGTATTCGGAAATTGATTAAAAATTACTACGCTGCTTTTCAATTTCCGTTAATATTATTTTTAATTCCTTAGGTTATTGAATACAATATCTACAAGAGTTCACTTCTACGACTTATAATACGATTCAAAGATAGATACGATTGGAAGCGATTGATTATCTTTTTCGAAGAATTCTCTTGAATATGTAAATCTGAAATCAATGAAAATCTGTGAACGAGAGCTATAATATTGAAAGACTTCATTTAATTTGTTTCCGCTAATAGAACATATACAAAAGCGCTCCTATTGCAACACAACAAACAAGGATACACCTCCTTCTATAACAATTCTATATCAAATCCTTACAACTAAAGCTAATCAAGTTAAGTCATTTCGGGTTTGATGTACTTCTCAAATTGACTTCATTAACAAGTAACGGCAAGAAAGGGAGGGAGAAGCAAGACTAAGCAAGGCGAAGTATAAGGCAAAGCAACTTTATGCAAATTCTACACCGTTAAGGCGTTTATGCATGTATGTGTGTAAAACTTCCTGCATATTGTGTACACACCCTCATGCCGTTACACATATTCATGCACGCACTAATTACGCTTATTCATTTATGTCTGCCTTTGTGTTTAACGCAAATTTCCGGCAACACAATCGCCTGACACCATTAATTTTGACAACTATGAAATTTGACAGCTCCACTTTTGTTTGAATTTTGATATTTTGTTTGTACTTCACACACACACACACACACACACATACATGTAACTATCTGTTATATTTTTGTACATATACATATAGTGTATGGTGTGCTTTCGTAAGTCAAAAGACAAATAAACTCAAAAAAGGTTAAAAATTTGAAGAGTTTGTTAAGGCAAGTTAGTTTGCATCCATCCTTTTATCTTA